CATGACAGCATCAATATACACACCTAGCTTGTGATCAAGTCCTATTTATTTTAGAAGCATAAACAGTGGAACTAGGAAGGAGTGATGAGAACAAGACACCAGTCCCCTTGACAGGGCCAGATCCAGCACAGGCTCTGTGTGTAACCAAGGCCGACCCAGCAGCCCTGACCAGCCTCTTCCTGTGAGGAGAGGGTGTGAGGACAACCTGGCTGGAGCAGAGTCTTCCATCATGGTGGGGGTGGAGTAACCTGGCTCCAGGTCCCTCTGAACCAAGTGAAAAAGGCCAGAGAGCCCACAACACCTTTGGCCAGGAGCACCCCAAGCTGGCTCTGTCTGTGCCTGGGGTAAAACCACATTCTGGAGGGGAGACCATGGTGTCCTCTGGTCTCCAGGAAGGTCCCAGGTGCTCAAAAACAGCCTACAGTGAGGCCCTCTGACCAGCAAGCACCCACTTCCTCCAGCTCTAGTCGTCTCTGCAGAGCCTTCGAGGAGGGGGCATCCACTATTGGGTGACATAAGCCCCAGGCCTCTACAAATACTGCTTCTTGGAAGTAGAGCTGCTGGAGTTACTGGGGGATTTCCGGTTACTCTGGGGGGACAGGCCCAGGAAAAGGGGGGGCCCGGAAGAAGCCAGCCTCTCCTCTGTAGTCAGGTTGGCCCAGTTCTGCTCAGTGGATGAGAGCCCGCTGTAGGTGGGGCATGGCTCGGATGAGGGCTCCTTGCCCATGGGGAGGTAGAAGACCTGGTCAGCGTAAGGCTCTGAGGCAGTCCCCTGGGCTGGGGAGGAATCCTGGCCCTGTCCAGCCTTTATCCTCTGGATGAGATAGCGGCACAGCAGGTACACCAGCTCCAGCAGGTTGAGCAGCAGGGAAATGAGTCCGACCACCTGCATGAAGATGATGAAGATGGTCTTCTCCGTGGGGCGGGAGACGAAGCAGTCCACGAAGTGGGGGCAGGGTCGTCGATGGCACACAAACACAGGCTCCATGGTCCAGCCGTAGAGGCGCCACTGGCCATACAGGAAGCCTGCCTCCAGCACGCTCTTGCAGATCACGCTCGCCACATAGGTGCCCATCAGCGCCCCACGGATCCGCATGCGGCCATCTTCTGCCACTGAGATCTTGGCCATCTGGCGCTCTATGGTTGCCAGCGCCCGCTCCACTTGTGGGTCCTTTTGTGGCAGGGCCCGAAGCTCCCCTTCCTTCTGCCGCAGCCGCTCCTCGCGCCGAGACAGGTAAATGACGTGGCCCAGGTAGATCAGGGTGGGGGTGCTGACGAAGAGGAACTGCAGCACCCAGTAGCGGACGTGGGAGATGGGGAAGGCCTGGTCGTAGCAGACGTTGGTGCAGCCTGGCTGGGCCGTATTGCACTGGAAATCCGACTGCTCATCGCCCCACACGGACTCCCCGGCCAGGCCCAGGATGAGGATCCGGAAGATGAAGAGCACCGACAGCCAGACCTTGCCCACCACAGTCGAGTGCTCCTGGACCTGGTCCAGCAGTTTCTCAAGGAAGCCCCAGTCGCCCATGGCTCCTGGGCATCCGTCTGCAGGGAGACAGGGGACACTGTCAGCATGTCATCCTTCTCAGCTCTCCTAGCAACAAGACTGCAGGGAGGTCGGCCATATCCTTTTTACCTATGGGGAAACTGAGGCTCAAGGAGTGGAAGGGATTGGCCTAGGGGCTCACACCTAGCAGGGTGGTCAGGACTAAAAGCAGATCTTTGGACGATGCGTGCTAAGTTCTGGCAAGGGAACAGCTAGAGTCCTGTCTCGTCACACATCTATGTCCCCCTTGTTTCCAGCCGGAGTTCCAGGATGACAACAGCCCAAAAATATCTGGCTAAAGTCGAGGCTCCTGAGCCTATGGGACAAGAGGATTTGAGGAGCTAATCCAAGGTCATGCAGCTGTGATATGCCCGCCCCCCCTTTGGTCCAGGACAGGCTGTCCCCAGAAAGTGGGGAGTGCTGGTGCTTCCCAGGGGGCCCAAAGCCTCAGGTCCCTGCTCCCCTCCTCATCATATCTCACTCAAACCTCTGAGAGTGTGGTAGGAGGGTGTTAGACCCTAAAGGCAGTAGCTGCGTTAGCCTCACCGGCCAGCTATAGTGACCACCTGCAAGTTAAGTACGGATGCTCAATCTTGTCCCCTTTTTCCATCCCTCCTACCCCCCAAGCTGTTGTTGCCAAATTCTAGACTCTTGAATTGTCATAGCTGGGTGGGGGCACAGGCCACAAAGTTCCCAGAACATCTTGGGGGGCGGGGTGAGGGGAAGGGAGGTTGGGGAAGGGGGAGCAAAGCTGTTTATAGAGTCAGGCTCTGGAACCAGACCTGGGTTCCAATCCTGACTCCTTACAAACGGACCTTGCTTAAGTGACAACCTCTTACCACCTCTATCTCTTCTCTCATGAAAAAGAAATAATAGTCCTGCCTCCTGGGGTTGTAAGGGTACAATGAAAGAAGGTAGGCACCTCTCTTAGCATAGAGCCTGGCTGGGTGAGTGCTACTGCTGTGGTTCGCCATCCCCCCCCACCCCACTTTCCGAAGCAACCCTCAGCCCCAGGCAGGTGGCAGGTGGTGCTCAGGCACCCCCGCCCCACGCACCCTCCCACCCCTCAAGCACAACTCACCGCCTGCCTGCCAGGCGGCCCAGGTGGCAGTGGGGACGCACAAAAGCTGAGCGGCACTCTCGGGAGCCCTGCTGGACCGCGCCTGGCGGCAGGGAGCCTTAAATAGCGCGGAGGGGCGGGGCGGGGCGGGGCAGGAAACCCGCGGGAGGGCAGCGGGGTGCTTTTCAGAGCAGGCGGATGGGACCCGGAGGTGCAGACTAACCTCAGGCGACTGTCAAGGAAGGGACCCCGGGAGGTGGCATTGGGAGTTGGGCGGTGAAGGGGGCTCTCTCCTCCTCCGCTGGTATTATACTCCCCTAGCCGCAGTTTCTTTGGTGATAGAACGGGAGTTCTCCAAGGTGAAATTTTCAAGGGTGGTGGAATTTGAAAGGATTAGAGCAAGAATTTGCCGATCCCAGCACCTGGCCTGAGGGGCTGTGAAAGTGAACAGATGGCCAGATCCTGTAGCTTGATACAGCTAGATGTGGACCACAACAGAGATTGCTTCTCCTAAAACCCCTCAGAGACCCTGATCAACTCCTCTGTGACCCACAGGAGCTGGTTCCAGGAGCAGGCATTTGCCCTGCCCCAGTGAATCTGTAAGGCATTTTCTCCTTATCTGGGGCCAGGTCACATCCCAGCACCCCTATCCATCCTGCCCTGCCCTATGTAATCCCTTAGCTCTTGCTATGATGTGTGGAGGATATCTCTTCATCTTGCTGCACATGATGTGCCTGGTATGCTATGTTAAGTTCCCTTAATGAACTCTGGATGCAACTACTGCTGGGGTTGTAAGCCTCTTTCTTACTCTCTGAGCCTGGGAAATTTTACACAACAGGACCTCCAAGGGAAGGGCCTCTTCCTGGATCTGGGGTGCTATTGACCTTGGTGAGAAGAAGGGAGAAGACTCTTTAGGTGGCCATGGTGTGCCCAGCACAGTGCCAGGACTGTTCAATCAAGGCTCACCAGGACATGGGGAACCACAGTGCCCTCCCGAGAGTGCGCTGGAGCTGGGGTCTCAGCCCAGTCTGTATCTTTGCAGATTCTCAAACATCCCCACTCCTGGGCGGCTACACAATCAGAGGTCATTAGGTAATTCCCATGGGCCACTTGACTGACACCGGGGAGGGGATCTCTCTCTACCTTTAGCTTGGATCCCATTCTTAGGCCTCTAGATGGGGGGGAGGGGGGGGTGAGCAGAGCCTACCACTGTTCATTTGGGCTTCACTGGATTGATGAACATTAATGGGGGTCTGTTATGCTGCAGGCATGTGGGGGGAGCTGGGGATTTGATCATAAAGCAGCCAGATGTGCTCTCTGACCGCTGGCTCTCACTGGCTGGTGTGGGGGCAGGAATGGATAATATCAGCCCATAGTTAATAGTGAAATGATAAATGTGGAAAGCTCTGAGAAGGACTGGGCGATTCACAGGGGCTTGGTTAGGAATGTTTCCTGGAGAAACTTCATTAGCCAGGTGGGGAGAGCATTCTAGGCAGAAGGAACAGAAAGGGCGAAGGAACAGAAAGTGCAAATGCTCAAGGACCTGGGGCTGCCGGGTCCTGGGACCTTGGCCACTGCCCCCAGGGTGTTGAGACAGCACTGGCCTTGATGGGTGGAGGCAGTCAGGCTGAAGAGACCCCTGTGCCCTTAGGCAAGTTGCATAAATCCCTGTCCCTCAGTTTCCTCCTCTGCAGAATGGAGATAGTAATGGTTCCTACTGTTAGGGTTGATAGGAGATCCAATCAAAGCACACATATTAATAGCCTAATATTGGTACATAGAAAGTTCAAGGGAATGGTGGCTAAAAACATGTGACAGAATGTTTGTGACAAAAAAAGGTCTGTCTTGGTGGAAGCTGTGGATTAAAAGGGGGGCTTATGGAAAGTAACTTCATAGGGTGATTTGATCGTAAATTCCTAAATGGGCGGGTCCTGGTGGGTAGTCATGCCCCTGGCATATAACTTCTTAGTAAAAGGCTTAGCTTTGCCTTAAGCAAGCCCTGTCCATTCTTTCAGTGCAGATACCTTAATGCCTCTTTTCAGACCCCTCCTTTAAAAGGGCGGCCACTCTCAAGACAGCACCTAGTCTCCTTAACTATCCTGTAATCCCATCCCTGCCTTGATTTCTCCCACCTACAAGTAATCTTCCTTAGGCTCTTTCCCTAATTCCAAATGCATAAAAGAGGCTGTAAATTGTCATTTCTTAGAAGCATTTTTCTCAGTCTGTTGAGACCTTACTTCCAGATCTTGTTTGACTCAACTCTTACAAAAATTCTCCACAGGTTTGGACGTTTCTCATGATGACAGAACAGAAGGGCCGAGAGGAAGAGGCTCAGGAGGTGGGGAGAGGGCGTAGATGGGGGCCAAGGCCGGGGGCTGGTGGCCAAAAGGTCCCTGTTTCTCCACAACAGGATTTAGTCCGTGGACTTCCAGTGCCCCTGGGTCCCCGAGGGTCCGACCTTAAGCAGGACCTAACCAGACTTTGGGGGCAGCAAGTGGGGTGGGCGTGGCTCAGACCTCAGAGTTTCAGGATCACTCTGAGCCCAGCCTTTCAGATTCCAAAAACTGACAACTGAGCCCACTTGGTTCTGACCCCTGAGGTCGTGAGAACGAAGGTCCCTAGAGGCGGCTTCCTTGCTGCGCGCCCACTGCAGCCTCGGCTTCTGGAGCCCCTCCCCTGTGACGAGACACAGACACAGGCTCCCTTTCCCCTGCTCTTATAGCTTCCTCTGGAGGTCAGGGTTTGCATGAGCCGGCCCCTTCCCGGGAAAAGGAGGAGCTGGGACTCAGCGATGACAGTAATCCCCACAACCTGGCCATTCCACCTGGGAAACATCCCTAACACCCCACCCTTCCCTCTGTCCCCACTGCCTTGATTCTCTGTTCAGGCCACCATCTCAGTGACTTCCCAGCTGGTCTCCCAGCCTCCATCCCTGCCCCCTCCAACCCAGCCTCCACCCTCCCCTGACCACAACACTGCTCCGTTTAAGCCCTTCTGTGGCTCCCCATTGCTTCTTGACCTCGGCCACTTCTCCAACCTCATCTCTCTCTCCTTTTACTCCACAATCCAGCTAGATTTTACTGTGGTCCTCTGTGCACTCTTGCTGTGTCCATGCTGTTGCCTCTGCCTAGAGCACCCTCATGTTCTGAACCCTACGAGTTGTTCAGGACTTGGTCTGTGCTGCCTTCTGCCAGAAGTCCCCTGGCTGGCCTCCACTGGGTTAGGTGTGCCTTTGTGATCTCAGTGGCTCAGGTATTGCCTTTTAACGGGTGCATTAAAAAAAAAATTATTGGGCTGGCCGAGTGGCTCATTCGTTAAGAGTTGGCTTGGGACGCCAGCTCTGAGCAGCAGAGCCCCGGTTCGGATCCCACATGGGGGCCAGTGACGCTGCCCTCTACAGCTAAGATAGTGAACAACAGCTCGACCTGAAGCTGGGCTGCCATGAGTCGCCTGGATGGCATGGGCTGCAGTGGGGCTGACTGGCAGCTGGTGTGGGCTTTCATGAGCTTTTGTGAGCTGCCGTGAGCCGCTGTGAGCGGCTGTCCACTGGCCAGTGAGCGACTGCCTCACCCGGGAAGAGTGCAATGATAATACCAACATGGGCCAGTGAAGCGATGTCCTCCACAACTAGACTGAAGAACAAAAAGGGCAGCAACTTGTCTGTTCCCCTTCCCCAATTCCCCAGTGCGATTCCCCTCCCCCAATTCCCTAATAAAATCTTTAAAAAAAAATTTATTTTGCTTGTGGTAAAAAACACATAACATGACATTCACCATCTTAACCACTTTTAAGTGTACCATTTAGTGCACTGTTGTGCAATAGAGCTGCAGAACGATTTCATCCTTTAGAACTGAAACTCTCTACAGTTAAACAATGCCCCATTTCTCCTCCCCCAGCCTTGGTGCATTGTTTACTTGCCTTTACCCCTCCCCCATTAGACTGTGAGCCCCTTGAGGGCAGCTGGGTCTGTTTACATCTCTAACACCTAGCAGGTCACCAGCCCCATGTATGAATTTATTAGTTCAACAAATATTTGTTGCCCCTGGTGCTGCTGTCCTAGACTCTGGAGAGCAACGAGGGAACAAAAATCCATCTTTGTGGATTTTACATTCTAGCTGGGGGGAGACAGACAAAATGTAGGACCTGTTACGTGGTATTAAATGCTACGTGGAAAGTAAAGTAGAAAGGGAGGATTGAGGGTGCAGGGGGTGGCAGTTTCAATTGTGAATGGAAGGGAGGAGACCTTCTCACTAAGCAGCTGCCCCGAAGGGAGGGAGCTCTGTGGCCCTCTGGGGAAAAGAAAATTCCAGACTAAGGGAACCGTAGTGCAGAGTCCCTGAGGCAGGAGCGTGGCTGGTGTTCCCTGCGTGGGGATCAGGAAGGAGGTCGGTGTGGCTGGAGTGAGGGGAGCAAAGAGAAGAGAGGAGTTCAGAAAGGGAATGGCCGAGATGCGGGGTGGCAGAACTTATAGGCCCCTAATGGCCTGTGGGAGAGGCCTTTGTAGGTTTGGGGCAGAGGAGTGACATGGCCTGACTTAGGTTTTGACAGGATCACCCTGGCTGCTGTGCTGGGACTAGAATATGGGGGTGGGTGGCAGACAGCGGATGCCCCCTTCGATACAGGACTTGCTGCACTGCTGTGTGGAGCCTGGTCAGCTGACAGCCTCCTGCTGTTAGCACTTTCACGTCTGCTTCAGCTGTCCAGGTGGCCAAGCTGTGCTCAGGGTGAGCCAAGCAGTGCTCAGAGGCCCAGCCATTTCCACCCAATGCAGGACTCCTGTAATGGACAGTCTTCGTCCCTGGACACAGAGCTCCCTGCCATGGGTTTTTGTCGCTCAGTCCTACTT